GGTGCAGACCAGGACTCCTGTAGCCCACCCAGCACTGACCTGCTAACAGTGACCTTGGTGCAGACCAGGACTCCTGTAGCTCACCCAGCGCTGACCTGCTAACAGTGACCCTGATGCAGACCAGGGCTAGACGACACGTCAAGTCCAACACAGAGGTGGGCAGTGAATGGCTATTAAGGGCAAAAGATGCCCCAGATGATTCAGCTCCAGGCCTGCAACATTCCAACTCTCCACATCACAGAGATGCTAATCAGTCAATTAATCAGCCTCTTAGCCCAGGCGATAAGAGCCGAGACAAAGAACTATGTCAGGTGAATGCTTGTCTCAGATATTTCCAAACTTGTTGGTTCTTTGTGCATGGTTCAAAAGGCATCTGTCACCATTCACCTTTGCCAAAAGGTAGAAACAATTCAAGTGTTTGCTGGGAAGTAAAGTTTCCGGTGGGGGAGGGTGGGAGCCACATCTTTGTTAAAAATTCTGTAAGGTTGAATGATTGATTAAAAATCCCGTGACTATGGAGAGTAGGAATATTGCAGCTCTAAAGACAAATTTATCATGGTCTGCCTTAGCCCTTAACAGCCAGTCATTGCCTACCCTTGTGTTTGAGCTGGCATCCTGTGACTATCAGATGAAATCGTTTGAGGGATATACAAATAGACCCCCCTATCTTCTACCAACCCCAAAACTAAGAATGCTACCAGGCTGGCACCTGAGGCTTATTGAAGAGATTTTTCCACCTCACTATAACCTGCCCGACTGATGTTCCCACCAATGTATTTTTTAAAAAACCTTGATTTATGATTTTCTTTGTTCTTTTACTACTAAGAAAAAAATTTCATTAAACTGTCACCATGTTAGAATATGATATCTGGAGACCTCATTCTGTGTTCCCAGTTCAGCATCACTCATATTGAGATCCAGAGTAAATACTCTCTCATTCTCTTTGAGATGCAAGCTTATGTCAATACCACCAACAGGTGAATAAACAAAATGTGGTATATCCACATAATGGAATATTACCCAGTCATAAAAGGGAGTGTACTGTGGTAGATGCTACAACATGGTTAAGTCTTGAAAACATTATATTAAGTAAAAGATGCCAATCACCAAGGCCACATAGGGATTTTTTTTTTTTTTTTGACACAGGGTCTCATGGAGTCTAAGCTGTCCTAGAAACCCCTATGTAGCTGAGAACAACCATGCCTCTACCTCTTCTCTGTGCTCTCATTACAGGTATGTAACATCATTCTCAGTTTTATGCAGTGCTAGGAATTGAACCCAGGGCTTCCTGCATGCTAGGCAAATGCCTTACCAACTGAGCCACTTCCCCAGGCCTAGCAGAGGGGAATCTATGGACACAGAAAGCAACCAGTGGTTGCCAGGTTCTGTGGGAAGGGAAAAAGAGTGATTGCTTAACAAGCACTAGCTTTCTTTTACAGATGTTAAAAATGGTTTAAAAAACAAACAAACAAACAAACAAAAAACCCTAGCTAGTGGTAATTGTTGAATGACATTGTAAATGTACTTAATTCTACTGTATATGTTTAAAAATGGTTAAAATGGTAAAACTTATTCTATGTGGCTTGTACCCATCCTATATACACAAATGACAGCTGGATGGAGTATATTAGTAATCTGAGGGCCGTGTGTGTGTGTGTGTGTGTGTGTGTGTGTGTGTGTGTGTGTGTGTGTGTGTGTGTGTGTCCCCTTGCCCACTTGCAGGCCTACTTATGATCTCCAGCCTCTGGCTACTGGTGACACCTCTTACAACACATCGGAGTCAGCATGCATCATTTACAGCATCTTTGAGCACTGCTGCCCAGAAACTCGTTTTTACCAGTTTCTGTTCAGCCTCAGGCTCCTTTTCCTCAGTTTTCCAGGAACTGAGTGGAGTAGGGAGGCAATGAGGCTTACCTGGATGTGAGCTCTCCTAGAAAGCTGGAAAACATAAAGCAAATAGCCACAGTAAGTCCCAGGGTTCAGACAGGACAGGCCCCACCCAGCCTGGTAGGCACGGCTCTCACTCCCTAGATCCCAGGATCCCAGGGTCTCCCAACTCTCAACTTCGCTGCAACCTGCGGAGGGTTTCCCCTCTTTCTCCAAAGGAGGAAAGTTTAAGGATTACTTAAAAAGTGGACGCACTTAGAATAAGCTACAGAACCAGAAGTTCTCAGCCACTCTGTGGTGGCAGAGCACACCTGAGACCTCAGTCCTCTCAAGAGGCGGAGGGAGGGCAGTGCAAGTGAGACCTTTACTCTAGGTTATATAGTGAGCTCAAATAAATAAACAAACAAACAAACAAATAAATAAATAATAAAAATAAAATCTTAAGAAGAAGAGAGAGAGAGAACTCTCAGCCACAGAGGACACTATGATGCACTGTTACAGCAGTCCTTGTCCCCGGGCATCTGTTGGGGACTGGTCTCAGGGTTCCTTGTGGGAGTGTTCCCAGTCTCTTCAGAAGATGGTATCAAATTTGCATATGACCATCACACATCCTTCCCTAGGCTCTGAACCATCCCTACTTTGCTTATGATGCCTAAGAGATAGTAGACTATTGTCTAAGGAATAGGCAAGGTGAAACGCCTTGATGTCTAATACAGAAACATTTTGTTTGTTGTTGCTTGTTTTTGAGACAGGGTCTCTCGATGCAGCCCCGGCTGGCCTTGAACTAGAAACTACTTTTTCCCAAGTATTTTCAGTCTGTCATTTGTTGAAACTGAAGGAAGAGACAGAATTCAAAGATATGGACCAGATGTCCAAAATGGACCCAAGCAAAATTGAGGAACTCTCTCCCTACTTAGAAACAGGGACGTGCATGACCTAACTAACACAGGCCCCATCAGGGAAAAGGCCAGCACCTTTGCCAATGGAATCTGAGAGGAAAATGAGAACTCAATTCCTTCCCTTCTGATGAGAGTAAGGATACTGATTTCACACACACACACACACACACACACACACACACACACACACACACACAAAAAAAAAAAAAAAATAGGGAACTGTCTCTTAAAGCTGAAAGATAGTTAAGGGCACTGGTTACTCTTTTTTGTTTTGTTTTGTTTCTGTTTTTGAGACAAGGAGGGCCTCTCTCTATACCCCTGGATGGCCTGGAACATGATATGTAGACCAGGCTGGCCTTGAAATTACAGAGATCTGCCCGCCTCTGCCTTGAGAAGTGCTGGGATTGGAGGTGTACACCACCACATGTGCATTTATACCCTTGTAGGCAGAATACCCATACATATAAAATAAAAATAAAAAAGTCCTTAAAAGGAAGTCATTTCTTTAGAACTCTCCATAGCAGTACTTTCGTATGAAAAGGTAACTCCTAATCACGTGATTACATGTTAGGGAATGGAAGGAAGGAACCCCCTTTGGGACAAAAAAGTCTAAGATCTAAATAAACATTTTATTTGTTTATTTATGTGTAGTCCTTGCTGGATTGGAACTTGCAGCAATCCTCCTGCTTCTGTTTCCCAAGTGGCAGGATTACAGGTGTACACCAACATGCTCTACTTGATTTTTGTTTTGTTTTTTAAGACAGAGTCTCGTGTACCCCAGGCTGGCCTTAAAATGTCTATGTAGCCAAGGATGACCTTGAACTTCTGAACTTCCTGTCTCTATCTTGCAATGCTGAATTACAGACCTGGGATACCATGTCCAGTTTATTGGGTGGTACAGATCAAAGGCAAGGCTTCGTGCCTGCCAGGAAAGCACTCTGCCAAGTGGGCTGCCCGTCCAGCCCCAATTTATAAAACAAAAACAAAATCAGAGTCTCACTATGTATCACAGGCTGACCATGCTTCTCAATCCAGCCTCAGCCTCCCAAAGTGGCTCATGCCATACAGGGAAGATTTACAGAGAGTTCACTTGCAGCTGCAAGCCTTTTTGAAATTTGAAAATTAAACTAATGTCATTCTTTTTTTTTTTTTAAACCGAGCAAGGCAATTTACTTTTGCAAAAGGATCCGACTGTCATTCCTGCCCATCAGCTTCCACTGTGTGTGCAGATGTACACCCACTTCCGCTCAGCGGTACTGACTGTGCATGTATTTCTGTTTGCTTTTCCAGTACACATCGCCTCCAACAAAACTGCAGAGGCCGGCAAATGGAACCTCTCCAAACTCTATGTAGGCATCAGCAAGCACTCCGGGTTTCCTTTGCTATCCACCTACCAGTCATTCAGGAGAGGAACAGGCCATATGGAGCTGGGACACCCATCACTTACCCTGACACTGTCAGCTTCACCTTGATATGGTAGGACACCAGGATGCCCATGACGGTCCGATCGATGCCCTCCTTGATACTGCCCAATCAAAAAGAAGGAGAGGGATTATGAGAGTAGAATTCTGAAGATGTTGTCTTGGAACTGGAGAATTCCATAGATTGGCCGCGTCTTCCTCCACTTGTGGGGCTAAGGAGTAGGTTTTCTGCATTTTTCCCTGTTCACATTGGGCACAGCATCTGTCCTCCTTCTCAAGGCTCAGCTTCTGACCTATTTCACTCTCCTACATCCTCCTTCTCCCTGCCCTGCCCTGCCCCACCATTCACAGCTGCCGAGTCCTCCCCTGAAGCCTGAGTTCAGTCCATCCAGGTTCCAGCTTCAGCAAGCGGTCTGTGAGGTACATTTGCCACATCCTACTCAGCTATGCCCTGAGGCCTCTACGCACCACCCTTCCCAATTCCAAACCTGCCCAGAAGGCCCTTCTCCTGCACCCCAATACCTCCAGCTATAAAGCCTTCCTGGACACAGCCAGGTAGGACTGCACACCCGCCCACTCTTGTGTTCTGCTCATGAGAAAGGCGCAGGGACACTCTCCTGTAACTTGATCACAGGATCATGATTGTTCCTGTACCCAAAAGCCCTGTGTGCCCAGCAGCCAGCGTGGCACCGACAGCAAGGGAAAGCTCACTTAAGTGGATGACAAGGAGCATGAGACGTGACCAGAGAGAGTGAAGGGTAACTCCAGGCTCAATGACCACGTATGGAATTCCCACTCTCAACCAAGTTCCCCACTGGGCATTTCGTCACAGTTTATTATCTCCTATGACCCAACATGGAAGACTTAAGTATTCCATGATGTCTGACAACAGGAATTATGAGATGAAAAATAACCATGCAATCTAGCTAAGCTACTATGAACCACAACCAAAATCTCAGTGGAGAACTCTGAAGGCAGGAGGCAGAGGGAAGTTATGTTGGCAGTCCTGGGATCTGGAGCCAGGCACGGGGAACTGTGTCCAGCCCCAGAGGCCTTCTGCTGGATCCTGTGCTCTAGGACCACAACTAGGAACATCACCATGTGGTGGGAGGATGGAGGCACAGCTGAGACCACGCTCTTGCTGGGATTGGCTTGTGAACCTGTGCCTTATGGACGGCCCAAACACAGGGAACAGAGCATGCCTGGGACTGCAGGGGTTCTCCCCATCATTTTCCTGAGTGGGAGCATCAGTGCAGAGTGGACTTGCTCAACAATTAACTCATTCAGAGACCCTCCACTAGTTTCTCATCCTGGTTCTACTGAGGATGAGGTTCTACACGGCCTAATGTATAAAAAATAAGCTCAGTTACAGCTTCTTCACCAAGGTGTGGAGAGGGGTGAGTGTTTGTAAACCACGCCAGATGTTGTGAAAATGGCTTTGTAGAAGTGAGTACCGCTGGCTTCAGCTGATTGCTCCCTTAGATTGATCTAGGGCATCATTTTCTTTCCCTGGAATTTCATGAGCACAACTTTAGAATCTTACAGAGACAGTTGGCAAATTATCCTCAGGAAAATCCCTTGATTTCCACCTTCATTCTGGCAAACATTCACTGCCCCACTACTGGCCTCACATAATGTAGGCTACAGGTTCATATGGGTCAGAACACCCCCTCTTTCTCCTGACATCACCTCTGAGGGCAGCCCGCTAAGGACAGAAGGGAGCCCCCCCCCCCCTGCACATCCTATGGGAGAGGGAAGTAAGGTCTCTAGATAGATCTTGGCTCCTGCCTCACACCTTCAGCATTTAGCAGCCTACAGTCTCCCAGCAAATCAAGCCCAGAAGATCAGCTAGCAGCTAGCTCCAGCATGGAGATTTTTCCCCTAGATCTTTTGCCAAAAACCAGCTAGTGGTTCTCCAAGACAGAATAGGCAGAGAGAATCAGCACTTCTTTTCATGAAAATCTGGTGCCTATCAGCAGCCAGTAGGTCTTCCAATCTTTCCAGATGGGAATGAATGAATGAAAACAGCCCGAATGCGGTAACTCAGTTTACGTGTTCAGGGTACTACATGAGCTAACGATTCTTTTGGATGTAACTGACACTTCCGGAACGCTCTGAGTGTCAGACACCACACTTTATGTACACTGTCCTAATTAGTCATCACTGGCATGTGAGATTGGAACTGTGATTACTCCCACTTTACAGACAGGAAAACTCAAGGAACGTGGCCATGGCCACCCAGAGGGCAGGCAGTGGCACTGTGGTTGGTGTAAGGCTGATGGGCAGCCCTGAGTACACCAGCCTGCACTGATGGCCCATTCACAGACAGAGCCTACGGGACTCACATGGTGCTGGAGGCCAGGTTTGTGTCCTCATGCTTGATCTTCCCATCCAGTGCGATGCCTCTTCTCTCTCTGTTGTTGGCCAGCAGGGGCACGAGCACCAGCGTCTTGGTCAGACTGCTGTTTGGCTGCACTTTTTCTCTTGAGGAAGAACCACAGAGAGTTTATGGCTGTCACGGCCACCATCCACACCTCAAGATCCCCTCTGTCATGAGCATTTTCAGAGTCAAAGCCCCCTTACAAGGTAAAGGGAATCTCTGTGAATTCAAGGCCATCCTGGTCAACATAGCAAGCTCCAGGATAGATAGAGACCCTGTCACAAAGAAGCCGGGCGGTGGTGACACACACCTTTGATCCCAGTACTTGGGAGGCAGAGACAGGCAGATTTCTGTGAGTTTGAGGCCAGCCTGGTCTACAGAGTGAGTTCCAGGACAGGCTCCAAAGCTACAGAGAGAAACCCTGGCTCGAAAAACCAAACAAACAAACAAAAAAATAAAATAAAATAAAAAAATAAAAGAAAGAAAGAAAGAAAAGAAAAGAAAACTAAAAAAAGTTCAAACAGGACCACTGTAGCCAAAAACTGTCCAGAGAAGGACAGTCAGTGCATGACTGATGGTGGGCCTGTAATCCAGGCAGACCTCTCTGCTTTCATTCCAAGCAGCACATCTTTCTTTACTGGGGCTTCTTCAGAGCCCTGTGGCTTTCCCTATGTCTGATAGATATAAGGAACCCTGTGCCAAGGGACAGTTCTGGGACTCGGTTGGGGACACAGCATTCCTGGGACCCCGAAGTGGCCTCTGGGATGCAGTATTCATTCTACAGCACACATGCTAGGCACCGGACCTGGGCCGAGGAGGGCAGGAGGCAGGGTGTGGCCTGCAAATGTTGGCTGGAAGCATCAGGACCACTTCCTGAGTGAGTCCCCAGACATCCCACGGGAAAGGCTTCCCTGTTGGCTTCCCAAAGGAGTCTAAAGCAGCCCTGGCTTCTCCTGTCTCTGGTGGGTGAGCACAGGAAGCCCTTTGCAGTGTTTTGTTTGAGCTAGGGGTGGCCACATCCTCTCACCTGGGTCATGGTGGACTCTCTCTCTCTCTCTAGCTTGATGGTCACGAAGGGGGCCCTGGGGGCTAGCATGATAGCCTTTACTGTAGTGGAATTAGCTAAAGGACTATGCCAGGCCCACAGCTGTGCCTAGGGCATTTTTGAAGTCAGGTTTGACCTGGTTTGAGCAAGCCTGCCCACCAGAGCCCCAAGGGCTGGGTGTGTCTGGAAGACTGGATTGAGTGCTACAGTCTTCTGAGTAGCCTCCAGGTTGAGATCAGTATGAGGATTAGTCTTAATGGGATTTTCTTGAGAAGTGCCTAGGAGATTTGAAAAGCACAACTCTGGATGTGTCTGTGAGAACATTTCCAGAGAAGATTAGCCCAGAGGGGAAGACTGCCCTGAATACAAATGCCGCCATCTCATTGGCTGGAAGCCTGGCTGTGATCAAAGAGAGAGAAAAGAGAGACGTCCTGCTAGCTCAGCCACTCTGTTTCCTGAGCTGTTCTTCTCTGCCACGCCCACCTGCTGTGATCGACAGAAACTATGAATGGAAGCAGGTATTCTCTCTGAGAGTACGTTTTCCCAGGTATTTGCCTCAACAATGAAAAAGCCAATGTGGTCTGACCCCATTTCTAGACTCCTCTTGCCCTCAGGGAAATATCAGAATGGTTTTCACTTCCCTGAGGACCATTTGGTCCAAAAAGCACACAAAGTTTTGAATGAGAAACAGGAAATGGGATATATGGGAGATATGGGAGATATGGGAGATATGGGAGATATGGGAGATATGGGAGATATGGGAGATATGGGATATATATATATATGGAAAAAAAAAAACCCTTATCAGGACAATGAGCCCCACAGTTGTGGAGTATCTGCCAAAAGGCAGCCGGCAGCCAAGATCAAGACTCCCCCCTCCTTGAACCAAATGTGAACAGACCCAGCCTGGCATAACGAGTCAGCTATGAGGTGCTGTTTTCTTTCTTCTCTTTCTCTCTTTCTCTCTTTCTCTCTTTCTCTCTTTCTCTCTTTCTCTCTTTCTTTCTTTCTTTCTTTCTTGTCTTTCTTTCTTCCTTTTCTTTCTCTCTTCCTTTCTTTCTCTCTCTCTTTCTTCTTTCTTTCTTTCTTTCTTTCTTCCTTTCTTTCTTTCTTTCTCCCTCTCTTTCGACTTCATTTTATTATTATCTTATGTGTATGAGTGTTTTACTTGTATATATGTCTGAGTACTGCATTCGTGGTGCCCTCAGAGGCCAGAAGAGGGTATGATGGGATCTCCTGTTACTAGAGTTTATAGACAGTTTTGAGTCACCATGTGGGTGCTGGGAATTGAACCTGAGTCCTCTGGAAGAGCAGTCAGCGCTCTTAACCACTAAGCCATCACTCCAGCCCTGCTCTCCTCTTTCTTAACACTATATACTACACTTATACACAAGGCTGTCTTTGTTTTGAGTAGCAGCTTACTGTGGGTCTAAATATGTAATATGATGTTTTTCTTTAATATGATCTCAGGTGTTCTTTCCTTAGTACCCAACCCTCCCTTTCACTCCAACCTTCCTGACACCCTGGTAATGTTTTCTGTATAGAACGTGCTAGTTAGACAAAGCAGAGAAGCATATCCAAGCCTCTCTACCCTGCCTGTGGATTAAGAACTTAACCTCAAAGCCAGGCAGTGTGCATGCCTGTGTGCGTGTGAGTGTGCGTGCGTGCGTGCGTGTGTGTGTGTGTGTGTGTGTGTGTGTGTGTGTGTGTGTGTGTGTGTGTGTGTGTAGGTGCACACAGAGGCCATTGGTATCAGATTTCCTGGAGCTGAAGTTATAGGCATTTATGAACCATGTAACAAGGGTGCTGGGAACAAGCTTAGGTCCTCTGTAAGAGCAGTATTGCGCTTAACTACTGAGCTATCTCCTCAATCCCTAAAATATCTTTATTAAACCCAACTCTACTATATATATAGTACAGCCCTACCCTGGGCTGATAGCTCATTTAGTCATCTTCTGGGGGCAGAAAGAGCACCCCATTCCTATCAACACATTCCAAGGATAGACAGAGTCCGTGATGCTCCCGTGGTGACATTTCTCCCTAGCTATCTCCTCTTTGATCCCTTGTTCACGAAGCCTTATCTTGCAGCCTAGGAGATGGCCCAGAGGTGACTTGCTTTGTAGCCCTTGATGTGAGAAAAGGGGAAGAAAAAGCAAAGGCCGGGGGCCTGGAGGGGCATTCTAGTTTCCTCTTGAGAAGAGGAAGTTGACGAAGTGAGCTGGCCGCCCAGGAAGTGGGAAGCCAACCGAGACTTACTGTGTCTCCTCTGCAGCCACAGGCTTGACGTAATAATCACTCGAGTAAAGAACCACATTGGCTACTTGTTCCACTGCAGAGGGAAGACGGGAAAGAGGTGAGCAGGGCGGGCCCTCGCACCTTCCAGGAGACACACAGGACCATCTGTTGAGTTCTGGCTTTCTCAGCCCCCAGCTTAAAGGCTGCAACTTTTCAAGGTCTGGTTTCAGGCCATCGCTGTACACCAGTGACTTGCTCTGAGTTAATTCCCACCAAAACACCAGGCTCTCAGATGCAGCTCCCAAGAGCTCCCCCGTCTCTTGCAAGCCCATGATCTATACTGGGTGTCCTTATCCAAAGGCATGGTGTCTGCAGCATCCCAGAACTCACCATGTACTACAAACCCAGCCCCTTTCCATCACCCTCCATCTTGCAGAAGGAGGGCCGTCCTCCCAGTCCCTAAGCTTCCTGGAAACCTGCCCGAAGCAACACATGACCATCCACGGTGTGATGTGGTGGATGGCTCTGCATCCTGACTACTTAGGCTCAAGTCTCTGTGGGGGAAATTCTTTAGTTCCTCTAAACCTCAATTCCCCCACCAGGAAAATGAGGATGATGAATAAAAGAAGGTCTGAAGAATAAAAGAAAGGCTGGCACTGGGGAGATGTCACAAAGCCTGATGTCATGAGTTCAGTTCCTGTTACCCATACAATGGAAGGAGAGAACTGACTCACACAGGCTGTCCTCTGATCTCCACACATATTCTGTGGCATATGCACACACACACACACACACACACACACCATACACACACAGACAATAAATGTAAAATGAAGATGGGCTGGGGAGATGGCTTTGGGCCTTGAAAGCACAAAGACCAATTCTCAGGTAGACACATATCCCTGCACTTGGGAAGCAGACACAGGAGAATGAATCCCTAGAGTAGAGCTTGCTGACCAGCTAGCCTAGCTTCCTTGGTGAGCTCCAGGCCAGTAAGAAATCTTGTCCCAAAAAAAGTGTATGTATGGAGGAGTGATACCTGAGTAACCAGACTCGAGATTGTTCTCTGGTCTCTACATGCATGTACATGCATGCACACACATGATGGTACACACCTGGCACTCAAAAGACAGAGACAAGAGGGACTCTGCAAGCTTGAGGCTAGCCTAGTCCACCCAGCAAGACAGACAAGAAAGGCCCTGCCTCAGAAAACAACATAATAACAACGAAGCTGAGACCGGTGCTGATGCCCCCAAGACTCTGAAGGGCAAGGCAGGGGATCGGGAGTTCGGGGACAGCCTCAGCTGTAAGCTGAACATCCGAGACTCCGCTGCAGCAAGAAAAACAAAATCAGGCTGGAGAAACAGCTCAGTGGTTAAGAGCATTGGCTGCTCTTCCAGAGGTCCTGAGGTCAGTTCCCAGCAACCACATGGTGGCTCACAACCATCTGTGATGGGATCTGATTCCCTCTTCTGGTGTGCATGAAGACAGGTCACTCATGTACATAAAATAAATAAATATTTTAAAACTCAATTAAAAACATTGTTGTTTTGATTTTTCAAGACAGGGTTTCACTGTGTAGCTCTGGCTGTCCTGGAACTCACTCTGTAGACCAGGCTGGCCTTGAACTCCTGAGTGCTGGGATTAAAGGTGTGTACCATCACCACGCTGCTGAGAGAAACAACTTAGGGCACCCATCATGTGCCCAACTTATAGAAAGCTGTTAACATTTTGTTTCAGAACAGCTTCTTTTAAGGTCATTAGTTTTGCTATTAGTATTCAATAAATTTTGAGAGCTATTTTTATTTTGAAACAGATTTTACTGTGTCCCGAAGGCAGGCCTAAAGCTCACAATACTGCCTCAGGCTCCCAAGTGCAAGGCTTGGCTGAGAAATAATTTTAAATACAAGTATTTAATGATACTTTATCAATTTTGCAGCTGTTTCTGAAAGTTTGCTTCTGCTCTTTCAAAGTTGAAATGATTTATAATTATTATAAATTATTTCTTAAATTTGCATAATTGAAGAGAGCCATGTACATGTCAAGGCACTTGTCTGGGGGTCAGAGGACCACTTGGAGAGTCAGTTCTCTCCTTCTACCGTGTGGGTTCCAGAGGTCAAACTCACATCCCCAGGCTGGGAAACAAGCACTTTTCCCAGCTCATCTCACCAGCCCAAGGAGGCGTTCATTCTTATTATTAAGAGGAGACTCTTTGGGGAAGTGATGTGGTCATGGGGATGGACACGCTCATGAACAGGATGAGTGATCTTATAAAGGAGGTTCCAGGAACTTGCTGGAAGGGCCTCATTACACCAATCTACCAGCATCTTGATCTTGAACTTCCCAGCCTCCAGAACTGCCAGAAATAACTATTTGTTATTAGCTGAATATAGTGGCACACACCTGCAAATACCAGTATTAGGGAGGAAGGGGCAGGAGGATCACAAGTTTGAGGACCACATCCCAGTGTGTGTAGGAACCACCTAATTTACAGTATTTTTGTTATAGCAGCCTGAATGGACAGATATTCTACCACACAGACCAAGGTATGACACTACATGCAAAATGCTGAATAACTCAGTCCTACAGAGAACTACACCGACAAAAAACAAGGCTAAATTAATATTCATATTAGCAATAAGAAAAAATACAGAATCTCTAATATGCACGCACACGATCTGAACTTCATCTTTGATGGACGTCCAGGGAAAGAGGAACATGTTAGCCCACTATCTGTCGCTATAGCTGAATACCATAGACAAGACTACTTACAAAGAATGGAGGTTTAATTAGCCCCTGGCTCTGGAACCTGGGACTCCCAAGTGGTGCTGGCATCTAATAAGGGCCTTCCTGTTTGATCATAATAGCAGGGGACCTCAAATGGTGGGGGCAGGGCAGGTGTGCTAATTTAAGCCTCTTTACTTCTTACAAAGCCACTAATGTCATTACAGGCCCTTCCTCATACCCTCATTTGACCCTAGCTACTTCCTGAAGTCTTACCTGCAAATATCATTAACGTACGAGTGTGAGGATCAAGTTCCAAACACGTAAGCTTTCAGTGGACACTTTCAAACCACAGCAGATAACTGGACTGCACCACCACCCGTGGTTTGCATAAGACAAACCCTATTTATGTGTGTGTGTGTGTGTGTGTGTGTGTGTGTGCGCGCGCGCACACGTGTGTGTGTGTGTGTGTGTGTGTGTGTGTGTGTGTGTGTGAGCACATGGGTGCTGAAGATTACACATACTGAAGGACCTTGCCTATACCCAGCAAGCATGCTACAAACTGAGCGATATCATTAGCTTTTTTAAAAGTGGGATTTCACATAGTGTAGACTGGCCTCTACATGTAGCTGTGGCTGGCCTTGAACTCCTGATCCTCTTGCTAGCTGAGTCCAGCTACAATGCCTATTTTAACAATGAAATGCCCATATCCTTTGTCCTGGGTAACCTGGAATGGCTAATTACGCTGACATTGTAAATCTACCTTCTTGTGGCCATCAAATATTTTAGTTGGAAGTTGAAGTCTGAATTTACTCTCCCAGGTCAATCCATTGGGGTGTTTGTTTGTTTGTTTGTTTGTTTGTTTGTTTTGCCCACAAAGACCTACATACATATTTTGTTGTTGATTTATACTTTTAATGTTTTGAGACAAAATATAGGTATGTCACCCAGACTGGCCTCAAACTCATAATCATCCTGCCTAAGTCTCCTGAGTGCTGGGAGAATAGGTATGTGCCATGATACTCTAAGACCTGCACTTGGATGGGCTTTGAGTTGAGGAAATAATATATAGGAGCAGTAAGTGTGGGGTGGGGGGCGCTCCACTGTAGTACACAACAGGGTTGATCCTCACTAGATGGTCATTCAAGGTGAGACATCTCACTTCACTATTCACGAAGCATTCCTATGTGGGAGCTCTACTTAGTGCCTATAGGCTTGGGAAGATGGGCGAGGAGCCACTACTGTGGGCACCAACTGGGATTCAAGGGTGGCATACCAGAAACCCACAGATTAAGTCCTATGTTTTCAAATCTAATTCCTTACTCAATGTACTTGCTGTATTTATCACTAAAAACTATCACTTGCCCAAAAAGGGAAGAGGGGCTAGAGAAATTGCTCAGTGGTTAAGAGCACTGACTGCTCTTCCAGAGTATCCAGGTTCAAGTCCCAAAACCTACAGGGCAGCTAACAAACACCTGTTCCAGGGGATCTGATGCCCTCTCTGGCCTCCACAGGTACTGCATGCACATGGTACAGACACACACAGGCAAAACACCCATACACATAAAATAAATAATTAAACAAACAAAAACAAAAAGAGAAGCCTCTCCCTGGACTTCCCAAGTGAGACCTGGCTCAGAGGGGTGTCTCTGGGATGGCAGGATCACGGGAAGATGGGAAGGGCACCTGTAGGAGACAAAGCACCAAAACCAAAGGCAACCTAAGAGACCATGATGGTGAATTCAATGACTTGTTTTGAGGTAGGGGCTCGACGTAGTCATATCTAGGTATGTTGTCCAGGCTGGCTTCAATATAGACCAAGGACAACTTGAACTTCTGATCTTCCTGTCTCTACCTCCCAAGTGCTGAAATTTTAGGCATGCACCACCTGTAGTGCTGGGATTGAACCTAGGGTTTCCTGCATGCTCTACCAACTGAGATATATCCATAGCCTGAATGCGATGACTTTTAAGATCCTTGTCTCTTTAAGGTCCTACTGTCAATGGTAACAGCAACCACAGGCAGACACAGGGACACAGGTGAGGTGGAGGCTTATCAGATCAGAGTGGCCCCTAGGAAATAGCATGAGGTTGAGTTCTAGAAGGTCCTACCTAATACTTTAATCTTCTTCACAGTCTTCTCTGTGTTATTGGTCACTGTCACAGTCACAGGGATGGGTTCCCCATGGAAATATATCTGAAAAGGGAGAGAGACATCAGAAGAGAAGAATGGAGTGCAGTGGGGTAGAATCTTTGATCTGAGGACTCTCTAGACCAAGATTTTCTTAATCTCTTTCCAATAAATAACCCCAGTATTAGAGAAACTAAAATGATAGCAATATTTCTTCTAGAGAAGGGTATGGATATGTTCAGCCCCATCTGCAGAAAGCCAAGGAGGTCGAGGGGTGTGACAGTTAGCTTTAATTGTCAGCTTGACACAACCTAGCATTACCTGGGAAGATTCTTGATGGACTGTCTACATCGGGTCGGTCTGTGGGCATGTCTGTGGGGAGCTATCTTCACTGTTAATTAATGTGGGCAGAGCCAGCCCCACTGTGGGCAGCACCATTCTCTAGGCAGGGGGTCCTGAACTGTATTAAGAATGGAGGAATCAAGTTGAATGTAAGCAAGCCAGTGAGCATGCATGCATTCATTTTTCTCTGTTCTTGACTGTGGATGTGATGCGACCAGCTTTTTGAAGTTCCTGCCCTGACCTCATTGTTTGGAGATGGCAATTGTGAAATGAAAAGAAGGCACTAGGAGCGCTGGCTGATGGAGCCTTACCTAGCAACACGCTGTGCTACCCAGCCCTGGGTGGGCAACACCCACACATGTATACACACTACATGAGGCTCTGGCTAACCTGTGTATCACTGACTCTGGACCACAAGAGCCTTAGCCAGCTGCTCTTCACCTTCTACTACCATGACTATCCTCATTGATGACATCATTCTCGATATGGCTGCCCTGTGAGTTTTCTATGAAATCTGAATTTTCCAAGGAAGTGAGCAAATTGAAGTTGTACAGTGAGTAATACAGTGCTTTAGAACCGGGGTGGAAAACGGCCAAGGTGGATGGGAGAGGATGTCTGCTTCTAATCTCCACAGCCCCCAGTCTACTGGGATAGCCAACAAATGCAATGGTAAGCCGTGGTGGCTCATGGTGACCAGCTCCAAATCAATGGAAATAAGCTGGCGATTTGCAAACATCTATGATTCCACCACGGCAGGAACAAGGTGACTTGTGATGCGTCCACACAGTGAGGGGGCTGTGGTCTGTACCCCCGACCTGAATCCCCATGGGGATGTGGATTACCTCTTTGCTGAGGGAGACTGAGAGGTGCAGGGGCTTATCAGACATGAAGAACTGCCAGGCTGCCTCAGCACAGGGTTGGGGACCCATCTCAGGAGGGGCATGCTGCACTTTCCGGATCAGCAACCGCACAGAGCTCCTGAGGAGAAAAGGTCCAGGGGTCCTGGTTGGTACCCCACCCCCACCGATCCCCCAGGCTTCAAAGTGGCCTCCCGGGGCCCTCTTCCATGATCCCAGGAGCTGAATGCTGAGCCAGCAACGCCCTCAAGGATTCCTTTCAGTCTGCCAGGCTCAGCTTAGCCTTCTCCCAGGAGAGCCTGCATCAATGGTTTCAGATGTAACTGTGACACATTGTCACTATCACAAGCATCAAAATCACAGAATTTGGGAGTAGAGTGCTTGCCTAGTATGTACAATATGATGGGTCAGATCCACAGCAAAACACACAGCACTGTGAGATATGGGTGCTGAGTATGAGGAGAATATTGGAAGAGATGGGCTAGGTGGAGACTTAGGGATGAAAGTGAGTTATCAAATAAAAAGGAGACATAAAGTTAGGGGGGAGGGCTGGGAGTATACGGGAGAAGTAGAGGGGAGGAAAGGAAGTGGAGGTGTGTATCATCATATTTTACTTCATATATGCATGAAATTCTCAAAAAAAAATTTAAAAAGAAAATCAAGCACCTGGTTGGTAGGAGGACTGTTTCTTGGTGACAGAGATTCTGTTTGGAATGATACAAAAGCTTTGATCTGATGATGGCAAAACATGGATACACTTGGTGTTACAGAGTTAGACATTTAAAGTGGTCAGAATCATAAACTTCGCAATGTGTGTAGATTATCATAAGTTTAAAAAATGTTCTAAGAGCCAGGCGGCGGTGGCTCACGCCTTTAGTCCCAACACTTGGGAGGCAGAGCCAGGAGGATCTCTGTGAGTTCAAGGCCAGCCTGGTCTACAGAGAGAAATCCAGGACAGGCACCAATACTACACTGAGAAACCCTGTCTCGGGGGCGGGGGGGGAAGTTCCAAGAAAGAAAAAATAGAGAGGTATCTTAAGCCTGGCATTCCAGTGCTTGGGAAACTGAGGCAGAAAGACCACCCTCATGAGTTCCAGGCCAGTCTTGGCTACAGTATGATACCATTTGAGAAGAAAAGAAAAGAAAAGAAAAACTAAAAAGAGAAAATAAATAATTAAAAGGAAGGAAATGAAAGAAATGACCTGGAAGGTTTGGGGGCCATGGGTCCCTGAGGTTGTCAAGTTCACTGTCATTCTCTTTTATCCTCTCCACCCATATTATTAGTTACTGGCCCCAACCCACTTATAAATGGATGATGGTTCAGTTTCTATCTGCCCTGATCAGGGAGGCTCCATGAAGCCAGGCACAGGAAACCTGTGGGGAGAGTCCTGCCACACCGGGAGAAGGTGGGGCTGTTTCTGGTCCCTGCCTCTATACCACCCAGACCCTCCCCAGTCCCACAAGGACTCTTACTTCTTGGGGATCTTGTCCTCTTCACCATCTGTGACGTCTGTGGCAAATGCTTTGACCTCAAAGTCAACCCCACAGCTCTGTTGGAGACAAGTGTCAGGGCAGTGGTTAGCACCTCCCTTCCCAGGAGCTAGGACAGAAGGTCCCACATGCAGGCAGACCTATGACCCTAGCTTTTGGTCTTAGCTGGGTCTTTCTTGGGGTTGTTCCATGAGACTAGTGGAGTAGTGTACTGGGAATCCAACATTGACATCAGCATGATGAGTGTCCTAGTTAGGGTTACTATTCCTGTGATAAAGCACCATGACCAAAAGCAAGTTGGGGAGGGAAGGTTTATTTGGCTTATGCTTCCACATCTCTGTTCATCACTGAAAGAAGTCAGGACAGGAACTCAAACGGGACAGGAACCTGGAGGCAGAAGCTGATGCAGAGACCATGGAGAGGTGATGCTGACTGGCTTGCTCCTCATGGCTTTCTTATAGAACCCAGAACCATCAGCCCAGGGATGGCACCACCCACAGTGGGCTGAGCTCTCCCCTATGAGTCACTAATTAAGAAAACGCTTTACAAGTTTGCCAATAGCCTGATCTTATGGAGGCATTTTCTTAACCGAGGCTTCCTCCTCTCAGATGACTCTAGCCTGTGTCAGGTTGACACAAAATTGTTCAGCACAAGGAGTAAGCAGGGGCTGAGAGTCCTACAGAAGACAGCTGTCAACATGCCTCCCGAGATGTGCTTCTCAAGTCCTGGTACGTCCATGCCTCCCTCTACTTTCTTCACAAATATGCAACCTGACCCTGCAAAAACTTCTGACGAATGCTGCACACAGCAGTGGGGCAGACACAGTATCCATGAATGTCCTGCAGTGTTGCAAACACTCTGACCTCAGTGGCTCCTGCAAAGCCAACTCTGGCCAGACAGCAATGGTTTACAATGGTTGGTTTTCCCCCCTTCAAAATGAGGTAAAATGGTAAGATCACCTCATTTTCAAAATGAAAGAGAAACTTTTAAGCCTACATGGCTGGAGTAAATGCCATATGCCTGTGATCCCCAGTCCTCAGTTCCCTGTGTAGGCCCAGTACATCCTGATCTCTGCCTAGAGAGAAAATCAGAGACAGCAAGGATGTCTCTTGTGTCTCAATGCTACAGGTGACTGCTGTGGGATGAGCCTTCTGTACACTCTGACTATGTATTGCTCTCATTGGTTGATAATAAAGCTGTTTTGGCCTATGGCAAGGCAGGATAAGGTTAGGTGGAACAAGCAAACTGAGGACTCAGAGGAAGAGGGGTGGAGTTGGGGGAGACATGAGCCAGCTGCCCAAGAAGCAAGATGCCAGAGGACCAGAAAAGCCATGGCTACATGGCAATACATAGATTAATAAAAATGGGTTAATTTAAATGTAAGAGCTAGTTAGTAACAAGCGTGAGCCATCTGCCAAGTATTTATAATTAATATAAGCCTCTGTGTGGTAATTTGGGAAGCGGCTGTTAGGTTTTTGGGAACAGGTGGTCAGGACATAACGTGCAATTTGTGATACATAAAATGGCATGTATTATATTCATATATAATGTTATATGTATGTATTATATTTATATATATATATATATATATATATATATATATATATATATATGTAATAATCTCCTATGTGTCCCTCAAGCCTCCCATCTGTAATCAAACCCCCAGCTCTAGGATACTGGAGGTTCCTAGCCCAGAGGCCTTCCTACCAAGTTAAAGTGCTCTCCCCTCTTAGAATACAGGGGATAGGAGTGGCTCTGGCCTACACAGGGTTGTAAAGCTACAGAAAGGTCATCGAAGAATCAGGATTTGGAGCCTCCTTGAGAGAGCACTGATGGATCTGACAAGGCTCAGTTGTATTTTCTTAGTTCCTGGCCTCCCTTTTCTTGAGTGACCTCCTTATCCCTGATCTCAGCTGTCCTCAGCTTCCCTGGACCACGGCACTCAAATGTTTTAGAAGTAATATTTACTGTGTGGCCTAGAAAACAGACACATATGTGTGAAACCACTCTCCCGACATGACGTTGACCTTTGTGTCATGTGACCAGTTCTGAGAGCGTCCATCCCATTCCATTTAGTTCAACTCTACTCTGTGCTATTCCATCCCACCCATTGTTGTTTTAATGATATTTCTGATCTATGAACCACGAGTGAGTGATGATGCCACCCTGAGGAACAGTGTCCTTACACCTGTCATTGTCAACCACTGTCCACTGTCCTCCATGCTCAGGTACAGGCCTGCCATCACAGTCAGTCTTGGTCCCCTTCTCCTCTGGTCTTCATTCCTTCCTTTGTGCCTGAAGTCTCTAGTCACACTCCCCTTTTCCTCCCTTCCCCTTCACAGCACATACTTGACCAACCTCAGATCCATTCTTGACCCTTTGTACACCTGACTCAAGGCCTGCTGTTCAGTGGCTCCCATGTCACTCAGGTTCAAACCCAAGTCCTCCAGTCCTGGCTTTCTTCTGCTTTCCCCTGACCTCAGTTCCCACCCTCCACCCCTTCTCCCCTCGTTTAGCAGGAAAGAGCCTGAACATGTTCTCTCCACCACAGGGACCAGGGCCTCTCTCGCTGCAGAGTCGAGCTTTCCCCTCTTCTTAGTACAAGGATTCTTGACTTTCAATGTCACCTGTTGTCCCTCCCTCACACAAGGCTTCCCAGGGTGCCTGTGGCCGGCTAGTCCACCCTGCACTTGAGGGATTTTGTTGTTGCCTGTGACTTTCCGTTAACATGTGAGACCCGGGAGCTTCTGATCTCTTGTTCACAAGAATGTTCATGGTTAATAACTGCTGGAGATGAGTGATGGGGTCATGGAGAGTCTGTAAGATGGGTTCTTTATCTTTGCATACACTTGAAATTTTCCATGATAAAAAGCTACTTTAAAGGTCTGCTGAAAACTTGGCATGGTGGCTCATGACCATCATCCCAGCACATGGTAGGGTGGCAGCAGGAAGATCAGGAGTCCAAGGTCAGTCTCAGTTACATGAGACCCTGACTCAAAAACAAACCATCAAAAGCCTATTGAAGGAGGAGGGGCCTGTGGCATTTCTCCTTTAACTCACCTTCCCTACATCTTGTGGAGCTGGCTGCAACATCACCGAACAGGGTAGGTAGTCAGGAAACTGGAAAGACACAAAACCATTTCATTCAGAGGGGCTATTCGACATGCAGTATAAAACCATCATGCAAGATGACACAAAAAGACAGAATTCTCCCGCCCTCCTAATACCCAGGACACTGATTTAGTTTCAAAAATCTCCAGCATGCATAGAAACACACAAATGAGGTTCTACACAGGGCACGTGTTCACTGGGACCAAATGTGTCTCATTATCTAGTTCGCTAACCTCACTAGCCCTTATCCTACTCAGAAATCTTTCTAACCATTTTTACACACCATGAATTACAATTTCTCTCCACAGTGCTTAGAGCTGCCACAGTGCACACTTCATGTAGCCATTCGTCTTTGTTGGACACTTACATGCTATTTAATTTTTTTTTTTTTTTGCCGTTATAAAAACTACCACAAGCAGGGCGGTGGTGCCACATGCCTGTAATCCCAGCACTCAGGAGGCAGAAGCAGGCAGATCTCTGTGAGTTTGAGGCCAGCCTGGGCTACCAAGTGAGTTCTAGGACAGCCAGAGCTGTTTACACAGAGAAACCCTGTCTTGAAAAATCAAAACAAACAACAAACAAAATAAAACAATGCCACAATAAATATACATCTTCAAACCCTTTAGTCCAGTGTTAGCCAATTAGTTCTGTGTTACATTGACAGAAAGGGAACTATCAGACTAGAATCATATTTTATTGTTTGGAGTGAGGGAGACACAGGGTCTTTCTCTATTTAGTCTATGCTGGCCTTGAACTTTCAATCCTTCTGCCTCTGCTTCCATATTGCTGAGATTCCAGTTGTATGCCATCATTCATGGCTGAAAAACCACATTTTAAAAAGATTTATTAATTTCTAAATGTTATATGTATGAGTGTTTTGCCTGCATGTATATATGTGTACTGCATGTGTGCCTGACACTCATGGAGCCCTAAAGAGGGTGATGGAACCTCTGAAACTGGAGTTATAGATAGGTGTAAGCTGCCATTCAGATACTGAACACCGACCCCTGGTCCTCTGCAAGAACAGCTAACTGCTGAGCCATCTCTCCAGCCTTTGGCTGTTGCTTGTTTTTGTTTGTTTGTTTGTTTGTTTGTTTGTTTTTCTGTACAGGGGACCAAATTAAAAAACCAAATTAGTTCATGCTAGACAAGCGCTCCAGCACCAAACTATACCTCCAGCACCCAAAGATCTCATCTCATTACCAGCCAGGCATGCTGGCTCATGCACTTGGGAGGCAGAGGCAAGAGGATCTGAGTTTGAGGGCAGCCTGGTCTACACAGTGAGCTCCAGGACAGCCTGGAGAACCTGTCTCAAAAAAATTTCCCATTTCTAAAGATTAAAAAAAAAATTTTTTTTGTACTCTTTGGGGTGAGAGTTGAGACAGGATTTCTCTGTGTATCCTGGCTATCTTGTGTAGAACTCACTGTGTAGACCAAACTGCCTTAAACTCAGCAATCCACCTGCCTCTACCTCCCAAGTGCTGATATTAAAGATATATACCACTACATCTGGTCTAAGTTTTTTGTGTTTTTGAGACAGGGTGTCCCTGTGTAGCTCTGGTTGACCTGGAACCCATTATGTAGACCAGGCTGGCCTTCAACTTACAGAAATCCTCCTGTCTCTGCCTCCTGAGTACTGGGATTAAAGGCATTATACCAACATACCTGGCCTCTAACGGTTTTTGATATGCATTGATATGTCACCAAAAAAGTTATATCACTTCAGGTTCTCAGCACAGATGCATAGGAGCACCTAGGACTAAAAAATTTTGTGTTTTTGTTTGTTTGTTTGTTTGTTTGATTGATTTTTCAAGACAGGGTTTCTCTGCATAGTCCTGGCGGTTCTGGAACATGCTCTGTAGACCAGGCTGACCTTAAATTCAGAGATCCGCCTGTCTCCTCTTCCCAAATGCTGGGATTAGAAGCATGAACCACCATGCTTGGCTAAATAATCTTTTTTTTTTTTTTTTTTTTTTTTGGTTTTTCGAGACAGGGTTTCTCTGCGTAGTTTTGCGCCTTTCCTGGAGCTCACTTGGTAGCCCAGGCTGGCCTCGAACTCACAGCGATCCGCCTGGCTCTGCCTCCCGAGTGCTGGGATTAAAGGCGTGCGCCACCACCGCCCGGCTTAAATAATCTTTTTAAAAAGAATTTTATATTAACAATTGTGGTAACATAGGATATCATAAAATTTTATCATTTTAGTTCATTTCAATGTATGTTTCATTGTGATTAGATCTGTTCACACTGCTCCACAATAGTCACCACCATTTGTCTCCAGAGCCTTTTCCATTGACCCAAAGAGAAGCTCTATCCATGGAGCCTGGAATCCCTGTCCTCTCCACACGGGAGTAGACCTGCCCTCCTACTTTCTGTCTAAATGAATGAGCTATGCCCCTCACATCAAGGAGGTGGGACTGTATGACCTTGTTTTTCCTTTTGTGTCTGGCTTCTCTTACTGGCTTCTCTTAAGTGGCATCATGTTTTGGGGGTCCATCCATGTTCTGACTTGGGCAGCTTCATGATTTTTTAAGGCTGAACCACAGCATTTATGTGGAGGAGGAGCATATGTCAATAAGATAGTAACCGTGCAAACAGAAAGGGCCGCAGTCGCTTCCCCACGCCGGCTCTTGCCCAGACTTGGGTTTCACTGGGTGATACATGGGCCTCAGGAGAGGTGAGGGGACAGACCAAGGCCCTGACTCAGTTCCCAGCACCACGTGGGGAAGCAGGGTGGGGGCAGAAGAGTAGAGAAAGATACTTTCTCTACCAAGACCTCCTGTCCATAGGGGCTTCTTGCTTGCTTAGAACTCCCTGGGGCCACCTGGGGGTCATGGCTACACGTTTCTTTTTATAGCTGAGTGAGAGAAGACAGAACACATGCTCATCTAATTAGGCAGTCAGATGGAGGAAAATATCCAAAGGGCAGGTTGAAATGGTGCCTTCAGAGGCAGGGAGGCTATTTTCAAAGACTTAAAAACAGACAATCACAGACCATGCAATCTAGAATTTCTTTCAAGGGTGCAATTTACAGGCCCACATATGTGCAATCCTCCCTCTGCCCCTTTCTCTTTGCCCCGTTCCCACTGTAAGGTGGATGAAGGAGGCAAGCCAGGGGAGTAGCAGGGGAAAGAGAGCTCACCGTGAGCAGAAATGGGTACGTGTTGTCTCCCAGTTTCTTGAGCAGGCTCTCCTGGAGGTGGGTAGGGGCACTCATGGCCCCGACAGGAGGGTATACCTGGACCCGAGAAAAGTACAGGTCCCTGCGGAAGGTCAGGCCAATCACATCAATGTCCTCCTGGCCATAGCGGAAGGCGCAAGTCAGAGTGACATACACTGGGAAGAAGATGCACACAGGTGAGACCTGGTCCATTGCGCAGGCCCGTCTACCCCAGCCACTTCCACTGGGCTGAGCCAGCAACAGAGTGACCACACCACACCGTCTGCCCCGGTTCCAGGCTTTCCTGCCTGGAAGGAATGGGGGCCGAGAGACTAATACTCTGCAGCTGGCTGACACCATTTTGAGAGAATCAGCACGTTCCTAGGGTTAGAGTTCGTTATCCTAAACAGGGCTGTCACAGGATTGAGAGGCATCTCCCTGGCAACCACATTGTTTTTGCTAGGATGGTAGAAATCTGTCGACAGGGCTGGCAAGATGGCTAATTGAGTAAAGGTGTCCGCCTCCAAGCCTGACAACCGGAGTCAATCATCTCCAGGACCCACACGGCGGCAGGAGGGAACCGACTCTCCACAAATTGTCCTCTGACCTCCACAGCGGGCCTTAGTGTTTCTGCATCTATCACACACATACGTACATACACACACTACATAAGTAACAATGGAATAAATGTTTAAAAACATGCAGACAGACAACATGTGCAGTCCACCGGTCCTCCTGGGTCCGCTCTCCCACCCTCCCTTTGCCTGGTCCACCAGCTTGGGGACCCGGAGCTGGACGTCTGAAATGGTGCTACTGTGCTTGCTTGGGTTAGGGAGGGCAGGGCGTCTGGAGAGACAGACAGACAAACAGTGCTGGAAGCAAAAAGGACGCGTGCAGGAGCCAAAGGCCTGGGCCAGGCAGGGAGACAAAATCAAAGCAGACAATGTCTTCGTACATTGTGCAGAAGCACATTAAAAGCATTCTCTAAACCACCACTTCCCAAAATTCTCTCTGATTAAAGACAGCCTGTGCCCAGCGTATGAACATTTTTGAAGACAGGAAGTGTGTGGCTCTTCTTCGCAAGGCTTGTCAAAGCGGCTCCTCAAGTCCTCTAGTTCTGCCTGAGAATTTCCTCTGTTCGGTTCGGAGGCTAGCTCTCTCTCAACCACTGACTCAGATGAACCACTAAGCACTCGTGCATCCTTCCTTTGAGGTGAGTGCTTGAGAAAGGTGCCCACAGCAGGCCTGGATTTCTGCTTGCACCCATCAGGCTGTGGTTGCCCCTGATAACTGAATCCCTGTGTGGTAAAGGGCAGGGGCTGACTGGGTGCAAACCAGGGAGCCGCAGAGCACCCAGGAAGGTGAGGCAACAGGAGAACCATTTCCGGCCATTCCTGCCTTGCCCCCTCTCGCTCCCCACACTGTTGCCAGCCCACACCTGACATAGTCTAGCGGGTACAGCCAAGGTTTAGAACAATGCCTTGTGGTTGCCAGTAGCAACCACTCCAGAGGCATATTTAGAATGGAACTGAGTCAGCGACACTATCATCAGCACAGCTCGAATCTGTTCTAATTCAGTTTTTGTAACTGTCATTAGCAACCAATGGCTTGCCACACGCATCCCAGCTGCCAGAGATCTCAAGGGCACCGTGATGCTGTGGCACAGAACTTTGCAAGGACGCAGAAAAACAAACTCCGGGTTTTATTCCCTTGCCTCTCAATAGGCATGGTTTCCCACATGAAAGCCTACTACTATCCACAGAGATAACCTTCACGGCCAGAAGGACGGCAGTGAGGAGGAGCCAGGGGTTCAGCTCACCTTTCTTCCCCTTCACAAGCTCGGGATCCACCAATACAACACCATCTAAACCAAAGGAGAGAAAACCCAGAGAGTGAGATCAAGAAAATCAGACATCTGGCTTTAAAGCTATATATAATATAGTGTCTTCTGTTTTTATTTTGGAGGTGGGTGGTTGAGACTGGGTCTCATGTAGCCCAGGCTAGCCTTGGATTTGCTATGTACGTAGCTAAGAATGACCATAAACAAGTAATCCTCCTGCCTCCAGGCCTGATTCACCAAAGCAGCTTGTTTTTTATTGTTTTTAAGAATAGTAGTTTTGTTATTAGGGGTTGGAGAGACGGTTCAGCAGTTATGAGCACTTGCCGCTCTTGCACAGGACCTGGGTTTGGTCCCCAGCACCCAGATGGCAACACAGAACTGTCTGTAACCCCAGTTTCAGAGGGGCCAATGCCTCTCCTGTCCTCCAAGGGCTCCTGCGTGCATATGGTGCACATACATACAGGCAGGCCCATACACTTGCATATACAAGAATAAGAATAGTAATTTTTAAAATGTGGCTCTGGGGTTCAAATTCAGATTGTGAATCTTGGCAGCAAGAATCCTTACCCACTGGGGGAGTGTTTATTTTCAGTGCTTAAAACTGCCAGGTTCTGCCATACTTCTTTCAAACGTTTGATAGATAGTGAATGCTTATCAAGTCAGACGAAGTTGCAGAGCCAGTAGAGGGGGCTCCGGGGCCCTCTGTCCTGTTGCCTCCTGAGCTTACAGCTTACAGAAAGTGTTAAGTGGGACATGGACAAGCACACCATGGCTGTGCACAGGTCTGTGCTACCTTATCACAGGTGACCCATGTGACAACCACCACAGTTGACATTTAGAACTGTCCTTTGGACTCCCTCATGCCACCCATGCCTGCTCCCACCATCCTCAGTTCCTGGCAAGCACCGTCTGCAGAATTTTGTCATCTTGAGAATGTTACATAAGTGGAACCATGAAGTCCATGCCCCTTTGAGATTGCTCTTGTTACCCAGCATAATGCCTTAGAGATCTTGAAGTTATCAATAGGTCACACTTCTTACATCCATCTCCCTTCCTTCCTTCCTTCCTTCCTTCCTTCCTTCCTTCCTTCCTTCCTTCCTTCCTTCCTTCCTTCCTTTTTATTTATATTTTCTTTTGAGAAAGTGTCTCTCCTATACAGCCCAGGCCGACCTCAGATTCTCAATCCTCCTACCTCAGTTTCCCAAGTGCTGGGAAACCATGTACACCATAACAACTAGCTGCTTGTTCTTTTTTTTATGATTGAATAGTAGTCCATGGTATGGATATACCACAGTTTGTTTAGCCTTATTCATCTACTGAAGAGAGATTTTCGTTCCTTTCGCTTTGGAGCTTCTGTGAACAACTATGTCCAGCCAGGTTTTGTATGCATGGTTTTGCCTTCTCAACAGATACCCAGGAGTGCCACTGTCAGGTCCTATGGTAAGTGTACATTCGGTTCCTAAAGAAGCTGCCAAACGCCGGGTGTTGGTGGCGCACGCCTTTAATCCCAGCACTCGGGAGGCAGAGGCAGGCGGATCTCTGTGAGTTTGAGGCCAGCCT